CACCACTCTATTTCTTAGCCAGTACCAAGCAGTTTTGATGATTGCTGCTTTATAATACAATTTAAGATCTGGAATTGCTAGGCCACCTTCCCTTGCATTTCTTTTCATTAGTTCCTTTGATATTCTGGACCTTTTGTTCTTGTTATTATTTTTTCTAACTCTATAAAACATTTTTTGGTAGTTTGATTGGTATAGCACTGAATAAGTAAATTAGCTTAGGTAGGACTGTCATTTTTATTATATTAGCTCGGCCTACCCATGAGCAACTGATTTTTCCAATATTTAGATCTGATTTGATTTGTGTGAAAAGTGTTTTGTAATTGTGTTCATAGAGTTCCTGGGTTTGTTTCAGTAGGTAGACTCCTAAATATTTTATAATGTCTACAGTAAGTTTAAATGGGATTTCTCTTTCTATCTCTTGCTGTTGGGCTTTGTTGGTAATATATAGAAATGCTGATGATTTATGTGGGCTTATTTTATAGTCTGCAACTTTGCTAAAGTTGTTTATTATTTCAAGTAGTTTTTTACTTGATTCTCTAGGATTCTCTAAGTATATCATCATGTCATCTGCAAAGAGTGATAGCTTTGTTTCTTCTTTGCCTATTCTAATGCCTTCAATTTCTTTTTCTTCTCTTATTGCTAAAGCTAATGTTTCCAGTACAATATTGAATAACAGTGGTGATAATGGACATCCTTGTTTCAACCCCAATCTTATTGGAAATGCTTCTAGCCTGTCCCCATTACATATAATGCTTGCTGAAGGTTTTAGATATATGCTATTTATTATTTTAAGGAAGACTCCATTTATACCTATGCTTTCTAGTGTTTTTAATAGGAATGGGTGTTGTAGTTGTTTTCTTAATGTTGAACCATCCTTCTATTCTTGGCATAAATTCAAATTGATTTCAGTGAATAATTCTTTGGAGATATTGTGATAATCTTTCCACCAGTGTTTTATTCAAAATATTTGAATTAGTATTAATAAGTGACACATTTTCTTTTAGTCTATGATCTTGAGACAAGGAGTAAACATTTCTCTCATGTTCCTTTCCAACCACACAATAGAAGATCTGGAAGAACAAATGAAGGAAAGATAGAAGATGGGTACAAGGTACATAATATCACATTCCTAAAGCACATTATTCATAATAACCTTGTGAGCAAAATGACACAAGGACTTTCCTCATTCATTTTATAGTTAGAGAAATTGACATTCAGGAAACCCCAGATCAATGAGGGAACAAATGGTGGAGTCAGCTAAATGGGAGAGAGTCAGTTCAGAAAGCTGTACCCTGAACTAACTTCAGAAGGCATCTGAGAGAAGAAAAAAAGAGGAGGAGGAAGAGATTAATGAGTGAGTGACAGAGGGATAAATGCCAGCCAGAAGGAAGGACCTACAGTTCTATAAGGTTACTTTGGAAAACCAGGAAATGGTTGTTCCATGAGGTTTGGGTAGGGGTAGAGAAGGAAAGGATTGAGTTTTAGTTTTGTTTATAATTTTTATAGTCCTTTTGGTTTCCAATTTTTCTACTTCTAATTTTCCAATTTCTAGTTTTTAATATTTCCTCTTTTGTGATTATTTTGGTTTGTTAGGTTTTAGTTTTTGAAATGCATATATCATTAATTACCCATGTCCTTTTCTATTTTGTTAATGTATATATTTTTGTAAATAGTATTTTTTCCAATTACATGTAAAGAGTTTTCGACATTAATTTTTATAAGATTTTGAGTTCCAAATTTTTCTCCCTCTCTCCCTTCCCTCTCCCTTCCCTCTCCCTTCCCTGAGATGGTGAGCAATGTGATATAGGTTACGCACGTGTAATCATAGAAACATATTTCCATATTAGTCATATTGTGAAAGAAGAAACAGAGTGAAAGAGAAATTCCACAAAAAGATAACATGCCTCGATCTGTATCCAGACTCCAAAGTTCTTTCTCTGGCTGTGGATAGCATTTTACATTGTGAGTGTTTTGGAATTGTCTTGGATTGTTAATGGATATTTTTATGTATTGAATTTTTCCCCTGAAGACTGCTTTAGATGCATCTCAAAAGTCTGGCATATTGTTTCATCATTAGAATTGTAGGTCATACAGTTATTAATTGTTTTTTTGTTTTGTTCTTTCACCGACTAGTTATTTAGGTGCTGTGGCATCCTAAAGAGGATGTGTGGGGAGTCTGTGGGTGCTATTACAGCCACTGGGTTCCACCCTGTTATTGACTGCAAGTGAGCATGTTACTGGCTCCTTAGAGAAGGGTGATACACTGCAGGGAGCCACACCACCAAGAGAATAGACCCTTGTAAAGTGGGCTTGTAGGGATCAATCTGCCTGTTGGGTTAAGGACTCCTCTTTCTTTTGGATGTCTGGAAGTCAGAAGTATTGACTTCCAGTTCACTGGATGAATCAGAGAGACAATCTAGAGACCAGACAGAGGAGAAAGGTTGAAAGGGCTCATCAGGATGCTGGACAGAGATTCTGGGACAGATAGCAAATAGCCAACCATGGGAGAAAATAGCTTCTGATCCTGAATCCTCTGATAAGCCACTTAGCAAGGCACTCAGAGTATGGAGAAAAATTATAGTGTTTCATCCCACTATGCCTGTGATGTTGGCTAAGTGTAGGAGGGAATGAAGCTCTCTTCAGCCAGTGATGGGTAAAATGACAAAGCAAAGTAGGAGTTCAGATCTTGTGAGAAACCACAGCCAGGTGTGTGGGAATTTCCATAGTGTATTTGATTCTTCCATCACAGTGGCTAGCCAGGCACCATTCAGCTGAAGCAAAGGGTTGGCAATTTGCACCAGTTCTTGTCTTTACCTGTTACTTAGGTCTGTTTAGGATTCATCCCTGGGGAAGCTTCATTTCTCAGTAGAGGAAATTGGTTTCTCTATTCTCACATTCACTGGCCCATCACTCGAATTGCCAGTTATTCCAGCGATAATTTGATTTTTTACATTGGTCTTGTGTTTCTCCAAAAGGGAGTAAGAATAATAAATTATCCAGGGTTTCATACGAATAAAGTATAGGGCAGGTAATTTATTCCCCCACAAAAAGCAACAATGAACTTTACAGTCATAGCATGCATGAACAAAATGATTTAAACAAAATTCAGAATTTAACTTTTAGCCAGGTTTAACCTGCTGGGAAGCTGCTAGGAGGCTTCATCAAGTCATAAAGTTTGGTGACTTGGTTAAATAGCCATTTCATATTTCACCTATCTGAACCCAGCCAATCAAACATGAACTTCTTTTCTGGCAGTCCTCTCTCTCTGTCTCTGTCTCTCTCTCTATGTCTCCATGTCTCTCTCTGTCTCTCTGTCTCTCTGTCTCTCACTCTCTCTCACCAATGCCAACCATTCCCTTCATGCCAGCCTAATCCTTCTGCTGCTGCTAGAAGTTGCAGAGTGGGCAAATTCCTTGGGCTCATACTGGTGTTATCATCTTTATATTTCAGGTAGTAAAAGTATCCTAAAATAGAGAAAGATAGAAGAATCTTGAAGGGAAATGAGGCAGGGTCTCCATTTGGAGTTCTTCCTAGAACTCCCATTGAGAAGAAAGGAGATTCTTGAGGAGAGGAGACAGGGCCAAGGGAGGTGGGCAGGGACTTCTGCATTTCAGAAACTTCCGGAACTGCAACAGTCCCTCAGAGGTGGGTCTTTCTTCATGTTGAGGGTACCTAACCAATCCCCCTCATAATGTATGTGGGCACGAGGCTCCCTGCCCCTTGGAGCATTACTCCAATTTTACAGGTGGGGTCTACTTTACAGGTGGGGACCCAGTTAACCTTACAGAAAAGAAAAAGGGAGAGACCTTGGCTGAGTCAAGCGGATCAGCTTTGACTGTGTGCGTAATCTGTGTATGACCCTGCGTTATACAGGGAGAGAAGTGAGTAGTGTGCCTCTCTGCCTCCCATCTGGGGGCTGCTGCATCTAAAGGGCGCCAGTGTTTTGAGGAGGGTCCTGAACCTTGGTGAGGGATGAGGGAAAGGCTAAGCTACAGCTACAAGGAATGGGGGAGGGTGTCCTAAATTTTTGTTTGAGGCGATTGTGGGCAGGTGGGAGGGCAGTGTGCCCGTGAGTCTATTTTAAAGGTGTCAGGTACTAGGGGGCTAGAGGATGAATTTATGTCGGGCGGGACTGGTGCCTCGGTGCAGGCAAGAATGAGGGCCAGTCGTGAAACTGAGCTGGGATGTGAATGGAGTGAAGACTGGGGAAGCAGAGTTGGGGTGGGGTTACGGGAAGAGCTCAGAAGCAGCTAAAGAGAGTGGGCGGGAGGATCTTTGGCAGCCTAAAGAGGGTGGGCGGGGAGGCCGTAGGTGATGTTGCAGGCACCCGAGTCTCTCCCAGTTATGCTTTTGGAGGCGGGCAGGTTACGGGCTCAGCAGGAATGGGTGGGCGTGACTAAAGCTGCAATCCGAGCTCTTAGGCTTCTCGGGAGCCTCTGCACACCCTGACCAGACTTCTTCGCATCCCTACTGGTGCAGCTGTTCGTGCATCCTCCTACCACGTCCTCTCTGACTTCTGCACAGCGCTCCTCTCCTAAGACGGTTCCTGAGGAGCCTTCGAGAAGCCCTCTGTTTCCCCACCTTTTGTGTTACTGCATGAAATTTCCTTAGTAGTGCCCCTCCGCCCTCCCGATCTGGTTTCACCGCAATCAGAGCCCTTAACCACCGCACCAAACCGCCTTGAGACCCTTCCGTAGGGACCTTCCAGGTGATTTTCCTTCTGTGCCTCCTCCTCCTCCTGTCAGGGCCCAACCACTCCCAGAACACTTATTTGTTTATTTCCTGTAATCACTCCTGCTTCATCCTCTGACTTCTTAGTATCTTTGCCCAGACCCCCTCCCCTCTCCCATCCAGTTCCTACCATCACTCCCATCCTCTGGCCTCCTCCCCAGCCTCCTTCCGGAGCATCCTCTAGCTGAGGAGAGAGGGGCAGTGCCTGCCTGATTACCAGTTCCGCCTTTTTCCAGGAGGGAGCATCTACTGCCCTGACAGCCTGGATTCCCAAACTTACACCCCTACGCTGGCCTACCTTCGGCAAACCCCGGTGCTAGAGCATCAGGTAAGTGAGATCCAGAAGAACGTGTGTGTGTGTGTGTGTGTGTGTATGTGTGTGTGTGTGTGTGTGTGTGTGTGTGTGTGTGTGTGTAGAGGATCGATATTACCTAGAGGACAGACCTTTCAGGGCCCCAACTTCACACCCACCCCAAGCAGGAGCAGAAATAGGAACAGGTTAAGCATGTGTGGCCCAGGGGCTGGTGGGATGATCACCAGCTTTTCGGTTGTGGGTTTGCCTAAGAAAGGGAAGTGATTATCCCAGGGTTCTAAGGGGATAGGGACAGGGTGATGGGCACTTAGTGATCTCAAAATCTCTTAAGAATTAAAGGAGGTCTTTGAAATTTTGTTGGGGATTCTAATGACTAGTGAAAGTTAGCAAAGCTGAATCATCTGGAAGAAAAGAGCAAGTTATGTTTTGTTTTAAGCTAAATTAAGAAAAGTTACCACTTTGAAGGACAGAGAGGAACTGGTCCTATGATTTTATTGGTTTATGGAATCTGGGATTAGGAAATGCCTTTTGCTAATGTAGCTCAACACCTCTGCAACTCATAGCCTTACAGAGTTGTCTTAGAGCACTGAGAGGTTAAGTGACCTACTTGTTCAGTGACCCAGGTGTCTAGGAGTGGGCCTTGAACCTTTTGAACTTAGAGGCTAGATCTCTTATTTCACCACATCTCAATGTCTCTCATTACCGCTCTGAAGACAGTAAATGTTATAGTGATAGACATCCTGCAGATTGAAAGTCTCTGATCCAAAGGTCTGACATGTTGATCATACAAAGGCTCTGCCCCTTCACTTCAAGTTCAGGAATCCGCTGTTGGAGTTGTCTTGAGAATTAGTTTTCCAAACCAGTTTAGATTCCACCCACTTTTCTTTAACTTCAAATGTCATCAAAGTCCTAAACTGTAAAGTTAATTTACCATCCAAGGAAGAAATGGCAGAGCAAGAGAGAAGGAGGCAGGGATGGTTGATGTAGTGATCAGTAAAGCTAGGCTAGCAAAGGGATCTAGAAGCTATGAGCTTCAAATGTTGCTGAAAGGAACCTTAGACATATCTGCTCCGAACTCCTCATTTCACAAATGAAGAAATGGAGTGCCAGAGAGAGGAAGTGACTCACTTGTCCAATAGGATGAAGGTCATCAGTGGCAGAACCAGAATTAGAAATCAGATCTTTTGATTTGACCAAATGAGAGAATATTTATAAAGCACTTAGCGCAGTTCCTGGCACAGAGTAGGTGCTTAATAAATGCTTATTCCTTTCTCCTTCCCATCGGCCTTTGAGTCCAAAATCAGAACACTTTCCATTTCACAATCACAAATCTCAGAGTTGGAAGGGAGCTCAGATGTCATTCAGCCCAACCTACATGTACGTGTTTTGGAGTCATTCCCTTCTGTTTCTCTCTCTTGAATATCTGTCACCATAGTAGCCTTTGTTCATTCTTTCAGCCTAGTTCCTGACTTCAGACTTTATGTTAAAGCTGGACTCTTTACTTCTGGAGGGAATGTCTAGGATGTTTATTCTAGGATCTCAGGAACATCTCAGTCTGGGCACCTGTAAGCCTTCAGTGATCCCAAAGTGGTCTGATACAGTGGCCTGACCCAGGACAAAATCTGATCACTGCCCCTCTTGATCTGAGTATGCAAGCTCCTGACCTGATTTTGGATCTGAGCAACATGACTTGCCTCATTTGAAGTTCTAATAGCCAGCTATTAGACTCAGCCTTTATCAGGCATCTGGAAAGCTCTGATGATTCAGTGACAGAGGTGTAAGCTCCCTTTTGATGGGAGATTCCTGCCCAGTTATTCTCCTTCAGGTTTCGAGACCTGGAATCTGGACCTGAGATGCTCCTCTGCTACTAGGGTCAGAACCTTACAGCTGTCGCTTGCTTCTAAACTTGATCTTTGCTCAATATACAGTCTATCCTAGGTACAGGTCTCCTTCTCAGCCCAACCGGAGACTGTGTAATGAGCATGACCTGAAGCTGTGTAGTGAGCAACAGAGCTCCCTGGCACCTGTTCCTGGACCTACACAAGTTTAGGCTTCTCTGTGCTGGTCATGAGACTTCTTGCCCTGAAGCAGCGTCTCCCTACAAAGGAATGCTCCATACCCCAACTCAAGACATAGGCAGACCCGGTTCCCAGTGTCCACACATCTCTGCTTCCCTCTTTCAATTTGCACTATAAAAAAGCCTCACTGTGATTTTTTTTATTTCCCAATTAGAATTTGATCTGGTACATTTTCTAGATGATTGAAGGAATTATGGGGCTGAGGGAGAGGAAAGCTTATTGTTACTCATCTGCTGCTCTGCTGCCGTGCTTCCTGAGGTCACATGATTTAGAACTGGAACAGATGTCAGAGATCATCTGGTTCAATTATATTATAGATGAGAAAATTCAGGACCAGAGAGGAAAAGTTATAGGTGATACTATCATTAGTGGAAGGGTTTAGTTTTGAGCCAAGGGCACTTGATTCCACATCCAGAGTGCTTCCCTTCCTACCACATTGCCTGTTCTTCATCCGCATATCTTTCTTGAGAGCCTTCTACCTTGTCTTGAGCTTTCTTCTCCTCCAGAGTCTCTGGCCAAGGATTAGACCCATCTTCTCTCTGGACTCTTTTAAGTAAGTTCTTTATGAGTGTTGGAACATATCAGACTATGGTTTACATTCCCCTGCTTAGCTTTTATAAACCCAAGAAAGGCATGACCCCCTCCTTCTAAGGTTCCTGTCACTTCAATTTCTAAACCCTCCTTGTGGGAAGAACTTTGTTTAAGGTCCTCACCTAATCCTCACAGCTCTAGAGAGGACAGCTACTGGAGATGGGAAAAATTTAGGGCTTAATCCTATAGGCTGGCCCTTGGGGCCCTTGTCCCTGTACATGTTGCTTCTACTTTACCTAAAAATGCTGACAATAAGGAACACCCGTAATAACACCAGCAATCTACTGTTTCATTGTCACCCATTCTCCTCCCACTCAAGGCCAAAGGATCTATTGAATCCCATAGACTACTGAATCATCAGCCTATTAGCTGAATGTGTCTCTGTGACCCAGAGCCTTTCCAGCACTGTGGCACCTGTTCCCATAACTCCTAACACATTTGTCCTAAAGGTGGGATTGGAATACTCTTTATCACCTATGGACATTTTTAGACCTCTTCTGATACCATTATGCAGCAACCTCTACTTCTTTGAGGTTCATTCTATCCAAAATTATCCAATCCATTTCCTGATGGTGTTATCTACCAGTCCTTGGGTCATTCATTGCCTCCTTTCTCAAAGACATCAGTACCTGACTCACAATCTACCTCTCCATCCTAACTGCTGCCTTTACACAAGTAAATTTCAATATATGTGTTAATGTTCTCCAAATCCCCTACCCTCAGTTTCTCAAATCCCATGACCAACTCTTCCATGCCCCTCCCCCAACACACATATAAGAATGGTTACACCTTCGTCTTGCCATCATCAATTAGTGCCATAGTTCCATGATAAATCATCTTGACATACCTGTATTACATCACAACCTTCTATCATTCCATTTCTGCCAATGCCTCACCCTTCCTTAAAACTTTCCTTGCACTCATATCCAATTCCTTCAGTCATCAGTACTTCTCCAAGCCATCACCCCTGCTTTGTTCTCACCTTTCTACCTTCATAACCTTGACCCCATAGTTAAACAATAGTGTACTGTCCTTTCTTCCCAAGTCCCTTGTCCCCTTTTCCTTTCTCTTCCCATGCCTTGCTGAGTCCCAACCCTGAATTACCTTCTGTTCCCTCTGCTCCTATTCCTTTGTTGCTGAAGGGAGCTGGAAGAAGCTATGCAAGTATTCTCACTAGGTCCACTACAAATTTATACTATCTAAACTCAACTAAGATCTCACTGGACCCAGGAAAGACTTTAACTTGAAAAGGCCAAGGTCTCCTACAGCATCCGGGGCCATCTCCAGTGGTCCTGATCTATATCTTGCTACTGGGCCCAGATGGCTCCAGAGGAAAAAAACGAAGCTGGTGACTTGCACAGTCCTTCCTCACTGAAATCCCTTGCAAGTCATGGCATCACCTTCCTGATGTCACGGTCCTCTTCAAGAATGAAGGACAAGCAACAACAAGATCTCCCTAAACATTCAATCAATCAATAAGCATTCATTAAATGGTTGTATGCCAAGCACATTGCTAAGTGACTGAAATGCAAAGAGAAAGAATAAACAATCCCTACTCTCAAGGAGCTAACTTTTTAACGAGAGACACAGCATATATAAATCCACACCTTTTAAGACATATACTGAATAGATGGAAGATAACTTTTTTTTTACATGAAAATTCCCGTTTAGGGTGTATTTTATTTTTATTCATTTTATTTTTGATTTTTTAAAAGTTTTTAATTTTTTAAATTCTTTTAACTTTTTTTCAACGTTGACTTTCATAAGATTTTGAGTTCCAAATTTTTTTCTCCCTCCCTCCTCTCCCCCTCCCTAAGATGGCAAGCAATTTGATATAGGCCATACATGCATAATCATACTAAACATATTTCCACTTTAGTCATATTGTGAAAGAAGAATGAGAACACAAGGGAAAAACCATGAGAAAGAAAAAACAAACAAAAAAGAAAATAGTATGCTTCGATCTGCATTCAGACTCCATAGTCCTTTCTCTGGATGTAAATAGCATTTTCCATCATGAGTCTTTTGGAATTGTTTTGTGTCATTGTATTGTTGAGAAGAGCTAAGTCTATCAGAGTTGATCACTGCACAATGTTGCTGTTACTATGCACAGTTCTCCTAGTTCTGCTCACTTCACTCAATATCAGTTCACGTAAGTCTTTCCAGGTTTTTCTGAAATTTGCCTGCTCATCATTTCTTATAGAACAATAGTATTCCATTACATTCATATACTACAATTTGTTCAGCCATTCTCCAACTGATGGGCATCTCCTCAATTTCTAATTCTTGGCCACCACAAAAAGAGCCACTATAAATAATTTTGTCCATGCAGGTCCTTTTCCCTTT